TTTCTTTTTTTGAGAGTCCGACAGCTCCCCGTGTTCTACGTTCTGCTGAAGTGCCCTCACTGTGGGCAAACTCGCACGAGTACTCCAAAAAGTGTGTCCAACTGCAATCACGGCCAAAGGCTTTTTTTTTTTCTTTGGGACGTACGGATTTGAGATGGGCCCAAAATTTTGAAAACCTTCTGACGCTCTGACCCTGCCCCGAGCCCGCCTTTTGTTTCTCGTGGCGACAAGTTATTTTGCTGCAAGGCTGAGGCCGTGAGCGTACATCAAAAGATATATGTGAGAAGACGTGTTCATCTGACAACTGGAGGTGTCTTCTCTGGAAGAAGTAATGACCTGTGGTTCATTTTTTATGTTCGGGCTGTTTGTGGCTGTGCAGGGTTTACGAGGATGTTCCACTCTATGACATGCTCAACGAGTTCCAAAAAGGTGGGAGTCATATGGCTGTCGTCGTGAGCAAGAAGCCAATGCGATCGATTGTGGATGCTAACATTGGAGAGCGAATGAGAGAAGCTAAGGAGGTGTCACTGACACCCAAGGGTGAGAAGAAGGAGGGGTCACAGACATGGAATAAACTCATGGAATTGAAAAGGCCAGCATCCGAAACGAAGGAAAGAAAATGGGTGGTGGATTCATGGGAAGATAACGAAGAAGTGGTTGGCATCATCACTCTCGAAGATGTGATTGAAGAACTCTTGCAGGTTTGCTTGATTACAGCCCAGCTATCAGACCCCTCGTGAATTCCTGGTCCTGTCTCCACTTGAGTCTTTCTTTTTTTAAAGGTGGGTGTAGCCCTAGCGACTTTTTTTTCTTAAAAGGGTGACAGCCTTGAGATATGATCATCGAACTGACCAGCCCTAGGTAATTCAGCCATGACGACTTTTGCGTAAGCTGATCGTCAATCCGTTGTGGCTGTCTGAGTACGCATGATGCATCTCCACCTCATTCCAGTTTTGTGGTCTTGCCACATCAAGCATCAGAACTGGGATGAATAGCATCATTTTGTTTGTGTACATCTTCCCAGGACACTTGTGCAGAGCCCCTGTTTTGTTTTTGGTCCCTCCTCCGTCTGTCCCTTTCCCCCTACTTCTCCTCTTCCTCCCTCTCTCTTTTCCCCGTGCAGAATGAGCATCACAGAGTGGACAGAAAATATTAGGAGGTGTAGGTGTGCTGAAATGCAACCAGATGTGTAGGCATCTCATGCTCAAATACACAGGCATTGTGGTCCTTGACTCCTTGCACCATTCAGAACACGGTAAATTGTTATGAAAGTGTCCTTTCATCCAAAATTACAAGCAATTACAATGATGTAAAATATCAAATGGTAGGAGGAAGGACATCTGTTAAAATTGGAGCGATACAGAGAAGATTAGCATGGCCCCTGCACAAGCATGACACGCGTAAATCGAGAAATGGTCCAAATTTTTAGGATGCCAAAAACAAAACAGAAAAAAAAAAAGGTAAAGGCTGCTTCAATGTTGGACCCACACATCTGCGTGGTGAAGGAGTGGTGCTGGTGATTGTCTCAAACAAACTTGTGTAAGAAGAGATTAATTCTAGGCAATGGATTGAACCCCTGCATGAAATATTTGCTTCAATATTGCTGTTTGCTATCTCCTCTTCCTATACAGTGGTAAGTTGATAACCATCCGTTCTGCGGCTTCTGCCTCACTCCTTCCCTGCTTTTCATCACAGCCACTTGTCTCCTCTCTGGCTTATTGTCAACAGAAGGAAGCCAGGGCGGAGATAAGTGGCTGTGATGATAAGCAGGGCAGGAGTGGGGCGGCACGGATGGTTGAGAATGTCTAGGAAAAGGGGCCAAAGGGCACAAAAAACAGCGATTCTGAAGCAAATAAATCATGCAGGGGAAACTGATGAAGTTTCACTCGTTCTCGGTATTTTGCTATTTCGTAACAGAGCTGATAAAAGTGCTTGCTTAGGACAATTTCTTGCCCTACCTTTTTTCCTTTGCTCCACTTCTGTACTTTTTGCGAGGAACAAGCCCTCAAGGGGCCCTATCAGACATCACATGATCTGGGCCAAGGCCCCCAGCAAGCCGAGTGCCCGCCCCAAGTGAAGGGGGGCCTGAATATTCGTCAGAGGAAAAATTCGACATTTCCATGTGTGGGTATTCAGGCTCTCGCAGCACGCCAGTTGGTTGGGTAGACACGTGAGCCTCACAAAGCTGCGTCATACAGTTGGCCCAGGCCTTGACAGTTGTGCCTGGGCACATACACACAAAGCAGGGCCAATACATTGGGAAGCAGGCTATCGGCCTTTGCGAAAACAGTACCGCCGACGCACCTGCCTGGGAGCCCTGCACAGATGCAGCAAACAGCCCAAGTCCGGAGACTCAGGCCGTGCCCAACTGAAAAGGGCCCAGGCCTCAACTTTAGTGTCGGGACTGGGCGCAGGGTCTGAGGCCCAACTGGAAGCTACTGGAAGCTTCCAGCCAGGCCACACACAGCATCCAGGAGGCTGCCACTTCCATAAAAGAAGTGAGGCAGCCCAGGCCAGGCATTCTGGCCAGTGCTGGCAATGCGGAAGTGCTGCTGCGCTCTTGCTTGATGCAGCGCTGCTGCCAAGGGCGCTGACGGGGCGCGTAGTGGTGAAGTGGGGCGCTGCAGGGCAGCGGGGCGCAGGCGGCCATAGCCGGGCTGCTGGGCGCCAGGGGTAATGCGGGCGATCGAGTGGTCTTCAGGGAAGGAGGCGAGTGTGGTGCATGAAGATAGGTCGGCAATGGTGTTGACAGTCATGTACATTGGTCTTCGTGAGTCGAAGTGAGCCTGTTGCGTGAACCAGCTGTAGGTAGGATAGTCGGGTAGAGTAGGCTGGGCGCTGGGCGCCAGACAGAGGGGAGCGACTTTGGATACTGTGTTGGTGTGGCCTACGGGCTTGAACATTGGCTCATTACTTCATTGTATTGCTCTATGTGGATGGTTTCTCGGTGCATTTTGTACTCTCTGATTAGATACGACTACCTGGACAGCTGTGTGATTTCGCAACTTGGTTTTCTGTATATCGTTCACACTCATATTCCTTGCATTTTACCCATTCGTTGGGTAAAAGAGTCTTAACGACATGAAATCTCCTTAGGTTCAGGCATGCTTTTTTTTATGCCCCTTCCTATGTTTCCTCTTATGCACACGCATAAGAGATAAATGAATGGGGGGGCAGTAGTTTGAGGGCAGGGCGCTTGGGGGGCCTGTGTATATTTGTCTCCCTTGTTAGGTGGTGGTACAGCACACGCATTCTCTCTTATGCATACGCACAAGAACCTAATGACACTCCCCAGCCCCCCAAGCACCCCGCCCTCAAACTACTACTAACTCCACTTAATTGAATCCTTGCTCTAAATCTCACAGTTGTGATACAAGGTAGGGTGAGTCAAGACAAACTGTTTGTACACTCACTGGGAGGGATAAGAGAGAGCTTGGGGAGAAGGATGCAGCAACCCATGGTCAAATCAGCACAGAATAAGTCTCAGGGAAGTATCTTTTTGCCAAGCAAAAGCTAGGGTCAAAGTCGGTCCTAGAGCCTTCGAAAGTCGTCATGTCAGTTGGCCTGGGGTTAAAGCCCTCTCAAGGGTCAGAACGAGGTATCCTGGACCTCCACAAGCTAAACATAGGTCCTATGGGTGCCAATTGTCAGGGTCTATCCGCTGGCCGAAACAAATTCTTGGCCATACAGTTTGAGAAATCTAAACTGGAGGCAGGCCAGGCGGAGTCAAAGCTAGGAATACTGTACCTGCCCCAGCTTGTGATTCATTCTGCCTTGAGGCTTGTGCTATTCTGAGCCTGGAGTGCTTCTCCCCAAGCCCTGGCACTGGAGATGGCACACACACACACACAGAGAGAGAGAGAGAGAGAGAGAGAGAGCAACAGCTAGAGTGGCTATAGCTAGCATAGGTGTGCATGCAATCCGTCGCTGATGTGCTCAACCACCATGCACTATGGAATCACCATTGGGGTTATACCCACACTGATACCCTGCCTTACCTATACTATGTGTTGAAAGCCCACAAGTCTCCTCCAGCTCTTCGCAACATTCTTGGAGTCACAGCACAAAATACTTGTCCTGTCCCCCCACGCACTCGCTCTCGTCCTTCTATTCGCACCATTCATGAACGGCCTCCTCACAAACCCTTGGCTAGCACAACGGCTACTTCGTCCTGTCTCAGCACTG